GGCGTGTCTCGGTTTCGTCTTAGTCAGGTCCCCAGAATTCTGACTGAACAGCACTAATCCCATTGCGTATACTAGCACTATGGAGTAGTACTACTCTGTACTACTAGTTACTAGTTGGTAGTTGGCAGTCCTCGTTGCCTCCGGAAAGGGGGAGGGGACAGAGCCAAGCCATCTCCGACTGTTTTACTTCTCAGCATCCACTAGTTGGTAGTAGAATGGAGTATATTCTCCGTACGACACTAAAATGGCGATAACCTCTCCTAAATCGCCATTAGGGATCTCACCTCATCCCTCATCCTGAAGCCAATCAAATGGCCCCTGACTAAACGGGATAATGCTGTGAAGGTCGCTACGTCATGAGCAGACAAACCTTCTCCATAGCAATCAATTAACGTCGAACATAGTGTCTTTACCTAATGCAACCGAAGTCTTTAGAGGCTTCTTCGAACCTTCGAATCCTCGACACGGGGTGAGCTTGATTTCAGCAATAGCAACCGCCACGTACGACTGTCTCCAAATTGTGCCACAGTGGTGGCCTCAGAATCCAGGACCCTACCCTCTCTTTCTCTGTCTATGGTTCCGATTCCGGCAGACTTCCGAGCCCTTCTATGAACCAAGGATGAAGAGGGGTGGTGTTATGATTAACTATGGTTCATACACAGTACTCTGCAACATATTTCCGAGTGATCTCTTTCACACACGACTGGGGGTCGTTTCGGAAGAAGAATCCACCCCATCGTCAGACCATGCCATATGCCAGCTACGCCACAACTCTCCCATTCTCGGCAGTAGACCATGGTTGCAACGTATGCTCGCCTAAGATGCACTCGCCAACAGAGACGAACTCGATGTCCGTCATGCTCCTGGGCAAAATGGATGCCGTCCGACCGAGTTGAGTAACGGGAACATTTGAGTTAGTCGTAGCTGCTAACTATCCAGTTGCCAAGCGGTCCTCGTGTCTGCTGGACGGGCTGGGACTGGCGCAAGTCGGTCTTCGATTGCCGGCATGAAGCTACCGCACTTTTTGCGGGGACTTTCCACCATCACTGCCTGCACTACTGCGTGTTCCACTGCGGACTAAACCAAGTCGGAATTCCATGTCTCTTTTGGCTTTGGGCGTTTTTCTTCTCATTCCTGATTTGGTGTCTTTGGATACATCAAGTGTGATAGTGATGAGCAGCTACCATCCCGCATTTTTTTTTTCTTTGTTTACGGTTCATGAGCCAACAGGGATTCAAGACATTACCCCGAGACTACCACAGGGCTGCTAGTTGAGCTTAAACCGTGCCAATCCACGAGTGACTTCGACGTGTTCAACTGCTTCTAAGGCCCATCAGTCCATACCGATTGGGGAAGGTGCGCCTTTTTTCTATGTGTGATTGTTCCATCTCGTGCTGATTATTCCCATCACAACTGCATGCTCGTCTCGGTACTTCAGAACACCGTCGAACCCAGCGGGCAGACGGGAAGACATCCATGTGGCGTGCTCCTTTGAGTTCTGTTCCTGGATTGGTGCAGGGAAGATCATGGACTAAAGTGGCCGATCGCAGCGACCACTGAATACGACAAACAATTTACCTAGGCCCGACACTGATAAGCCACCAACCTTCTTTTTGCACGTGCGTATTGATTGAACAGCATCATACTCGGGTGTATCTATGCTGTGGCTACGAATTGCTCCAATCGTGGAGAAACCCGGGAGTGATCCAATGGATGCCAGCGGGGGGAGAGGGACTGATTCGCACCACCAGCCATGGCGAAAATCATGAGAGAGCTCTTACTCAACCCCATCCCAGCGCTACTCCATCCTGGATCGTGTTGTCGGGGCTTTTGGAGGCATGGGCTCTGGACGGCCACGGGCATTGGTTATTCGTCCCGAGCCTAGCCCAGTCGGGTATATAGATAGTATTCCGACCCGTGGTTCCAGCTCGCATTGGGGACCTGGAGAGCTCTTGCGTGTGGGCACCAAATGGGATCTTGGTCCCGTAGCCGCTTCCAGTATGATGATTGTCCGTGATTCCATTGGAAATGGCGTCACCGTGGAGATTAAGATACAGAAATCACGCAAACAGAGAGGAAGCTCACCGTTCGCCCGAGAAAGTCTGTCTCTAACAAAACTCTCTACGAAAGTTGAGAACGGAGAAATAGTGCGAACCCTCCCGACGGGACAGGCTAATACTACTACCTATCTATAAATTCTTCTTACTAACCAAATGCGCATAATCGCCACTTCCAAGACGCCAGACATGGGCTATCGAAAATAAAAATGCGGAGAAGCAAATGGTGCGCCATTAAACTTGGCCTTGGAATTGGGGTCCCTTCGGAGCTCACGGCAAGCAAGCTCGAATCATCAACCACCCGACTTACTATATTTGTGCACCGTATACCTGCAATACTGATGATCCCACGAACAGCAATTCTCGAGTCAGAGTGGACCAGAATGCAGAATCCAAAACAACAGCATCCGCCGCACGACGAAAACAGAGATAAGAGCAACATCGGACCCGATACATCTGATGGAGTAAGTCTCCCACTCAGGTGATCCGGCACCGTCCGCTGGGATGCGATTGGAGGTACCAAACCTCGAAAGGGCAAGTGGCAGGTTTGTGGTTCTCTGTGCACGGAAACTTTCACGCCGACATCGCTAAGCAATTGGGATTGATAACAGAGTCATGCAGATATGGATACAACAAATTCGAATTTCTGGGTCGCAGGCAAACCTGCGCGGAATAGCGCGAGGCCAAGGTGCCTTCGGGTGAACTTTATCGCAGGAAGGAATTACTTCCATGGCGCGCTACTCCACACTCCGGGCAGCTTCTGCCAGTCGGAAAGCGCTGTCTCACGCTGATACTTCCGGCGGCGACCCAATAGCCCCCTCTGCCTCATGGGTCGCCAGTGTGACTATGCACGGGATAATGAGCATCCATACAGAGATGAGTGATGCGATTTGTGCGATAGCTGCGTCGACCAGTGTCCCAACATGATCGACGGCCGCCCCAGCCTAGGGCCCAGAAAAGGTCTTGGATTGCCCTCTGCACATTGCACCCTTGCGAGTGGGGGAGAGCGGGCGCAAAGACTGACCACTATCAGTCTCAATCAATCACGACAACAATAGTTACGTGAGGGAATTCGTCTCAGATAAGGTAGGCTTGCGGTTCCTTGGGTCGCAGTGGGATCTCGGTCAGACCAAGCGGATCGCGGTAAGCACTGAACATCCCGAAAAGAACAATGCTCGTTCAGCTGGTTCAGCTTCCTTGGTCAGCCCGCTTCCTCACGGACCGTGCTGAACCAGATTTTTTTTTACCTCTTCGTTGCCCGGTGGTATCAGCCCCCAAGGTCCTGACGTGAGAGGTGCCCGGGCGCGGCGCGGTGCAGGCTGCAGAACGTGCGAGTGGGATGGAACCATGGGTCCTTTTTGCATAGTCCTCACGGGTTGGGGCCAAAAAAGGTGGCTCAAACAGTTAATGCATCAGACGATCCATCGGCAGTGATGCTGATTAGCGACGAGGACACGGACATCTGCAGCCTGCAGACACAGCCATCGCGAGAGAAGAAAAAATCTGACATGCACACTACTAATTCGATAATACCAGGTTCCGGCTTACGACGACAATTTGCCCCCAAACCAATGCAGCAGGCGCATCTGCCGTCACTGTATTTAGTTGGTATGTACGGAGTATGCCGGTATTCCTGGACGCGATTGGTTTTAACCGAGCAAGCATCATGCCAGGCGATGATGGCAGTTGAACCCCGACCCTAGTAGATAGGCCCTGGGGCTGGGGTTGGGGCCAGGGCCAGGGCGCAAGGCGCAAACGGATGAGAATCCTTGTCATCCGAACGCAATCAGCCGGCGAAAAGATTCTACTAAGACGCGCACGACGGAGAGAAAAAGTACCACGGGTACTCTGTACTACCACTAAGAAACAGCCACGCCGACAGAAGGAGAAACAAGGTAAGCATAAGCAACAAGCAATGCAATAGCACAGCGGAATATTAGCATAGCACCGGAGTAGCATAGCAATAAGCAAACGATCTTATACCTCCGACGAATATCACCGATAGGTAGAAAGTAAATACGCTATGATCCAACCACAACCATAATCATATAACCACCACAACAAGGATATCAAATATCAACATCAAGATATAAGAATAAATCCTAAAATAAAACAGGCCTCAGTGGATGAAGTTAAGATCAATCTCCCAGATCAACGGGAGTCAGTCTCTTCCTATCATATATGAAAACATCCAATAATCTCATCATCGACCTGATATAATATATCAAAAGAAGAAGAAGAGAAAGAAAAGATTTCCCACACACCGAAAATTTTCACCTCCCCCGAAACCCGCTTACTCATCACCCACTCACCACCCATCCTCATCCCTAGAAGTAGGTGTTGGAATCTCGCTTAACCCGGAACAACCAATCATCCACCCTCCCCACCAAACACGCCTATAAATACAACCTCACCCCCTGCACCCTTTTAGGTTCTTTTTTTTCTCTTTTCTTTCTTCGTGCGGCGACGCAACTATTTTCACCCGTGTTGCCTGGACATCATTCTTCTTCAGTGATGTTGTCATACCCCAGGTGTCAGTTGCGTCACAGACGAACGGAATTGCACACCGGTTCTTACTTTATTGGTCTTTCTGTTTTCTTTTCCCACTAGGATTAGACCATTTGGTTTGGGATCGGACATTCATTTATCACTATTATCATAGATGTGTGGTTAGGCATGTGTCTATGGTGGTGTGATTATTTTAGTATAGATTTGTTGGCTGTAGTGATACTGCTGCTTTCTGTGCTGGTTATGTGTGGTGCAGATTGTGGTCAGATTATGGTCAATAGATATCGTAGATTGTTGAATGTGAATGAATATTATCATGGTCATGAGTTTCAAATGTCTTAAGTAGTCCGTAGTAGAAATGTAGTGGTTTCTGTTCTGCTCTGTTCTAAGTGTTGCTATCATATATCTACTCAATCCTTGTACTGGTATGTACTCTCACTCCCCCGGCTCATCACCAATCTTCTCCAACTTACCCATCTCCCTCTTCTCACCCGCCTCTCCAAAGATGCGCACCCGATCGACCCGCAACTTCTCACTATCTCCGTCGCCATCCACAAAGAAAATCACCAACGACGTAACACTCTGGAACTTGACAAACCGCAAATCCACCTTGGCCGTACCCGTCTTGGGATCCCAATCCTCCGGCTGAATTGTAACCGTCTGCACAGCAGGGATATCATCCGCCTCATCGAATCCCAACACATGCGACCGATTCGTATACAACGACACCGTCCGGGGGCGCATCGGCCGCTCATCCTCGTCCTCAACCTCCTCCTCCGCTGACGGCGGAAGCGACGTAATCTGCAACGAATGCACCTTCAGCGTAGACTGGAACGGGATAAACAGCATCAACTGCTCGTCTGTATCACTCTCCACCCAATCCGGTGCGGCCCCGGCCTTGCCCTTGGCGTTGTTCAGGGAGGATGGCTTCGAGCTATCGAAGAGCGTCTTGGCTGTGCCGAACTCGCTCGCCCGGTTCAGTAGCTCCAGGCCCTTGGGGTCGTATTGGTCCGAGATATCGCTGTAGTTCTTGGGTGCCGGAAGGCCGATCCAGCCTACGCCGCTGCTGGAGCCGGCGTCGTTGCCTTCGGGCGCTTTTTCGGCTTCCGTGGCGAGCTTGCGCACGAGGTCGTTGAGCTCTTTGGCGTTGGCGCCGCGGACGGTGGAGGTTGGGCGGCCGCGCTCGAAGAGGACGAAGGTGGGCATACTTGAGTAGGGGTTAGTAGCTGTATTGTAGTTTGCTTGGTCGGGTTTGTAGGATGTGGGATAGGCACGTACGCTGTGATCCCATATTGTCTTGCGATGTCTTGGTTCTTGTCAACGTTGATCTTCGTAAAGGTGATCTTGTTCGGGCGTGAGAGCTGCCCGGCTAGCTGCTCGTATGCGGGGGCGATGGCTTTGCATGGTCCGCACCAATCTGCGTAGACTGCGTTTGTTTCGATGGGTTAGTTTGTATCTCTTTGTGAGGTTTGTTTGATTGTAGGAGATGGAGTGACGTTGCGAGTGAATGGGTGGTGATGGTGGTGGGGAGGGGAAGGTGGGGGACAGCAGATGGGAGCTCACAGTCGGCGACAACAAAGGTGGAGGAGCTCAATAGGGAGCTGAATTGCTCGCGTGAGTTGATTTGCACGAGTGTCGACATGGTGGAGGTGTGTGTCGCGTAGTGAAGGACGCGAAGGGAGATGGAAGGAGGTTGGAGGTGGTTTGGTGAGCTGCGGTGGTGGTTACTGTTAGGGACTGGAGATCTATTGCCGATATGTCATCAACGCCCCCGCCGCCCACCGACAGCAGTACTTACTACTACTAAGAGATGTATATTGATGAAGACGAGTTGTCAACTCCAAAATATAACTAATTTGATAAAATGTGTGTATGATGACATATCCGGTCATTTCTATTCTGTAGTCTATAATCTTCTCAACATATCTCATATCTCATATATCATATCTTGACTCTGTGGCTCAGGTTCTATTGCAGGCAGACCTGGGGGTAATAGCAACACAGTCAGAATAAACCAAACTTTACCACGAAGATATAAGCATCCAGGGTGTTACATCAATCCGCAAGCAGTATCCCAACCTCCCTTGGAAGGGTTGACACAGGTCAAAGTGCGACTAGGCCAGCAGCGTCCGCTGCGGCAGGCATCATGGCTCACCACGAGCCTATCGTCGGGGAGTTCTTTGGACGATACAGAGTGCGCACCGCACAGTGCCACTCGTGAGCTTATGTATCATCACCATACCCTGCCAGCCAAGTGCTGGTCACAACGATCGCGACCAAAAGCATCTAACGGGTATACCTCGAGCGAAGAATCCATCCATCCACGCCCTAAGGCGACAAAACCAATCAATCATCACAGATATCCCACAGCACCACTCAAGTATCCTGTTCATCCTCATCTCCATCCTCAACAGCAAACAAAACCTTCATCCACAAACTACACCCCCGACAACCCACAACAATCTCCCCATGTTCCGCCTCCCTCTCCAAATCCTGCTCCGTAACCAAGAACCCCCTCTCATCTCCACACCGACACCCTCTATACCACAGCGTAGCATCCGCATCACTCTCATCGCACGCCAGATCCTCCAGATCAACGACCTCCAGACCCGTATGGAAAACCGTGCCCGTCTTCTCCCGCTCCGCGACCCTTATGCGATCGAGTCGCAGCGACCGATCGTATTCAGCGCGTAGATATGGATCAGATAGTGTTTTGTATGCGGTTGTGATCTCGTCTATTGTGTAGCGATGCGTCGTGTGCGACGAGGAGTTTATGTCCGATGTAGGGAGGCCGCTGCTGCTGCTGCTGGTCTGGACATCTTTTGCGATTGCGCCGGGTGCTTTGTCCGGGTGGTGCTTAAGCAGGGCTTTGTGGTAGGCTGCTTTGAGCTGTTGTTTGGAGAGCGCTGTTGGCGTCTCTGTGAAGGGGAGGTTGAGGACTTCGTAGTGGTCTTGGGTGAGGGGGTGGTTGGATCTGGTCATGGTGGGTTGGGTATTGCGGTGCGGCCGATGTAGATGTTTTTTTTTTTTTTTTTGCGCGGATTGGTAGGGGGGTTGGTTCCTTCGCCGAGGATAAGTTGATTTGGTATGTGGTTATTGTTCCATTCAGTCTGTTTTGTATCTTGGGAGATGAAGGCTCTGGTGGGCTCTAAGTTGGTCAGTTGCTCGAGATGCGGCGGTTGGAGTTCGGAGATTGAAAGACTTTCTCGTCGGCTCCGCACTGCCGCCACTTCTTGTGCGCTTCCGGAGTGATGCCGACTCGGCGTGACAACAACCATTGTGTTACGTGATTGCAATGTCGGAAAGATTCTCTAGTTGTTACATGGCAATCGATGGTAAGAAAGTGGATGCCTTGTGGGTTGAGCCATCAATAGTAGGTAATTAGCCGGTTCAACTACTAGTGGTGATATATATACCACAGCAGGTTCGCTAATGAGGTACTACGGCATTTATTACAAGGTATCATCTGAATCTTCAATGGATGGTTTATTGATCTAATCTTTCTAGATATTTCCACCCCTGTATGGTTTAATGCCCCGCGGCAGGACATGCCTTTCTAAGACGCATGCTATGGTCGTCGAACATCGATCGAGAACATGTCGGATATCAAAATGTGAACAAGAGAAAACAATGCTCCGCAGCTAAAACCCTGAAACAAACCGAACCCAGAATATTCACAAAGACCAGGAGAGTATTTACTCGGAGGTCTTGAAGACATAGCGGTCCTCAGTCTTGAAGGGGACACCAAGTTCAAGGAGCTTGACGAACACATTGGAGAAGTCCTTGAAGAAGAGGTCGCTGTCCTTAGCATAGAGTTCGACGTACTTGCGGAACGCCTTGTCCTTGGTCAGGGCAAGATCAGCGGGCATCATCATCAGGGTACCAGTGGTCTTGTCAGTGAACTGCTTGGGGCCGTTCCACTTGCGCTGCTGCCACTTCTCCTCAACCAACAGACGGAAGAACTCGTTGGTGAAGACGGTAGGGCTGAAGTCCCAGGGACCGTCGAAGCCAGAGCGGTCAGTGTGGGCGCGACCAAGGGAGTGAGCTCCGACCAGGGCAACGATCTCCTGGTCGTTGAATCCCATGCGGTAGAAGATGTCACGGATGTGCGACTGCTCCTTGGTGGCGTCGGGGAGACGTCCATCAGGGGTGCAAGCAGCAACGTCCTTGTCCTGACGGCCAGGTCTCCAGGGGATGGCAGGGCCACCAAGCTCCTGGATGGCACAGGCACCAGCCAGGGTCCAGAGGTCGGAGTAGGTGATCCAGGGGAACTGGGCCTTGATGGGCTCCAAGAAGTCTCTGGCGTGCTTGAGACCAGCGTTGGCGCCGTGGTCGGACTCGGGGGCGAATCTCATGGTGGCACCGTTGCTTCCACCAGTGCCGGTCTCCTTGTCGTAGGTACCGCTTGCGTGCCATGCCAGACGGACAAGAACCTATTCAACAACGTATGTCAGCTTCCCAGGTACTCAATGGCTCAAGCTCATCAGATGGTGACTGTCACTTACGGGTCCATAGCTGCCATCGTCATAGTCGGTCTCGTTGGCGAGACGCTGAGCAACGGCATCGTACACCTTCTGGTAGTCCTCCTTGGTGGGGACAAACTCCTTGGAGCTGACGGAGGCATCACCACCCTTCAGGTAGAAGTAGGCGCCAACACCACCAGCAGCGGCAATACCAGCCCAGAGGAGGCTGTTGGAGGACTTGGCCTCGCCAGCCTCAGAGGCATAGCCGCGGCGAGAGGCAGCACGGAAGCCCTGAGAAGGCAGGGCAAAGCGAGCACTGCGAGCAGCAGGTCTGAAGGAAGAGGTAGCGGGGGTCGAGCGAAGGAAGGCCCGGGAAGCCGTTCTAGCAGCCGATGCCATTGTGAAAGAATGTAAAGGGAAGGAGACGAATGCTCAGGGGTGAATTGGCTAAATGGTACACGGAGGATGGATGAAGGAACCCAGGGACAGATGGATTACCTCGGGTGTAAGACGGAAGAGAAGAGGAAGGACAGAATAATAAGGTAGGAGGGAGGAGAAGGGAAGAGGGAGAGAAAGACAGAAGAGGAGACGAAGACAGGGATACTAATAGGCTGCGAATGTTCTCCTCAGCACTTCCAGCGACTTCCTCCACAACGACTGAGTATTATGCCGAGTCCGTTGTCCAGGCACGGCGCACCAATGGCAACACGCAGATTGACGAGCTCTGGGCCGAATCTTTTGAGTCAGCAAGTCACTCTCCGCATTTCTGGTGCCGTGAATCTCTTTAGTCCGCGGGCAACTGCCAGTTGGAGTTGGTTGTGAGTGAGGAGACCAGAATTGGGTGACCCGATCTCCGGCAATTGGACCTGTCCGTGGCAAGATGGCCCTTTTCCCGACCCATGGCTCCAATCTCAGTCTACGAGTCTTTGATTCCTACAGAGTGCCAAAGGGCATTGATTGACTGAGCCATTGTTTGGTCGATTGACGGTGATTTGCGTGTTGAATTGAGAGTTGAGAGGTCAGAGTTCAGAGCTCTCAGGAGGGGCAGCAGCCCATCTCCATGCAACGATCATAACCGATGCGACTAGTCTATCGCTCGTTTCTGGGTCCGCGGGCGGGTCCGTTGCCATATTATTAACAGGAACATTCTCTTTGGCAGAGACTCGCTGGTCTCACCTGCTTCTTTGCTCTCTGAGCCGCGGTAAATTCCGGGCCACCCACTGCCTTCTCCCTTCAACTGGTTCCTATTACTAAACTTTTATCCGTCCAGAATCTTCCCATTACTCAGCTCGGGAGTCTGGCTCTTATGATAACTGCTATCAGCCCTTCAGAACCATTCTAGAAGTCTGCTGAACAGAGCTCTCTTACAAACACTGCGTCTGATAAACAACTAGGCCTTCATGCTTATCATTATCAGTTGCTATGGTAGCTTGGCCTCCAATATAGTCGGACATGTTGGCGACCGCAACAAACAGCATGCCCGGTCATCAACCATAGCTTCAGCTTCTCTTTGATTGATTTCAGAGCTGCAGCAACGATCATCCCCAGTCAGATAGGACGAGGAGCGACCAGATGCAAGGGGCCTTAACTGGCTCGTACTTCCACAAGGCGCAAAGCACCCGTTTCAGTAGCACCGGAACATGTCCACTCCTTCATCGGAATGCTTTCCGTACAAACGAAGAGACACCCATTCCGGTCTCCCAGATCTACGTACCGCACACCACATATGCACAGCTACAAATAAAAAAGGTAGAGATAAACTCAGGATGTCCGTCGTAAAAATAGTCCTGCCGTCCGATAAAAGCGAACACCAGGGTGGAGTAGACGCAGCTCTGCTAAAAACTGTTTGGTTTTGATCTTCCACTGAACGAACTTGAAAAAAAGTATGCCTCTTCGCCATTGAAAAGGCTAGAAGCGCACTGTGTGGTTTTCGTTGTGCTACGAGAAAAGAAAAAGCGAGACAAAAAAGGCAGAAAACAATAAACAGCTGAATGATGCTGCAAACATTCTGCAGTCATTCTTCTACAGTGAGTGTAGACGCTTCAAGCCAAAGACGTGGGAAGGAATCGTTCATAATATTCCAAAACCCCGATGGCTGAGGGTTGAAGGCAGGTTGAGTGACTGACTGTAAAGGAAGGGAGAAACGGTGGGTGAGAGAAAATTGGGATGAAAATTGGTCTTTTCGCTTAAGCTTTAGGTCATGTGATGTAAACGCTAGCCTAAGCGAGTGTGGTTGCTCCTATTGCTCGATAAGGATACAGCTATCTACATACTGGCAGGCTGTCTGGCACTTTCATTGACTCTTCAGCATTGAAGATCTGTTGCTACATATATGGCTCCAGCATGCTATCCAATACGTTAATGGGCTGGTAGGGAGTGACTGAATGCATGCCATCAATGACTGGTGCTCTACTGATCACCTATATATTACTACGGTCCTGGCTTACTGCGCCGAGTCGTTGCGAGCCTCAGACAAGAGAACTGAATATCATATGTCTATGCCACTGACATGCCATTAGATTGATAGTATCAAAAGGGTTTTTTTCTTCCATATCATCACCCGACTTAGATACATATCATCAACAGCAACGCAGTATCAAAGAAACCTCACTGCCTCCTAGATCTGGTCGCATCGATGGCCAATCCAATGAGCTGGCTAATAGGTCCACCACGTCTCTTCTTTCTCCTCCGCTCTTGTTTTCTGGGAGTGTACGACAGCATCTCAGGATTCTGCTGAGACTCGAGCTCGGGACCTCCCTGAGCCGGCGCCTCGCAGGCCTCATACTCTGTCGTGCGTTGACGGACTTCCAGAGTCATTCCGACTCCAAGACAGATCACAACAATCACGATCTCCTCCAGAACAGCCATGACCAGGAAAACAGTGACGTTTCCCGTCAACATGTTGAACGTGGGATTGTGCGTGAATACAGACAACAGGGAGTATATAAGGCGCACGAGAAGCAACGGAACAGAGATTCCGACTGCCAAAACCAAGCGATGTTCGCCATCCTCAATGCTTCCATACTTGCTTCCGACGACGAGTAGCAGGGCACAGAGACAGGCCCATGCGATGAGGTATAGAACGTCGCCAACTTTGGCTTCTGTACTGTTCGTGATTCCCTGAAGGCTCGAGCTGTTGCTTGCACCAACAATACAAAGAACCATGCCCGCCAGTGTGAGGAGACCGACTAATCTGAAGAAGGCTGGAAGGAGGCCTCGTCCGGTTTTTCGTTGGATAGACTCGTTACTGGAGTACGAGGGACTGGTTAGTTTCTTGACGACTTAGAGCAGATCAGCATAACACGTACACTCGGGACAAGAGACCGATGCAAGTGGAAATCAGAGGGGCAAGTCCGATGGAAGTGCAAACGCCCCATGCGATATAAAGGTCGATGGTCTCAGGGTGGGCTATCGTGGCCAGGTAGCAGCACGAACCAATAATGCGGGCCAAGGAGAAGATTATCAAGAGAACCCAGCCAGCGTTTCTCTGGAAGCCATGGCGGAAGCCCATGTACAACGAGATGAATAGGGACGGGAAGTATACGATCAATTCCAGAATGGAGAGACCATGTCGGTAGTTGACGGCCATGATTGGGATAGAGAGACGAACAACGAGTCAGTGTCTCTTATGGGCTAGAAGAGAAGAAGTGTTGACTTCAGAACAATCTGCTTTATTGGAATGTCGAAAGAGGAGAGGCAAGCTATATAACAATTTCAGGCAACCGTTATTCCCCCTGTTGAAGACTGCTATAATCCTAGCAAGATCACACATTTTCTTCACGGTACCAATACCTGCACCCACAAGGCTGTGCTTCCCTGGAATGTACCTCAAACAAGCGTCTATCGGGAGCTTGAGGCTATGCTTAGCCATATCGTTCTGCCCAACCAAAGGCCATCATGAAGGCCAGATGGAGCAAACTTGATGGATATTTCAACGACCATATCGTGGACGGACATCAGGTCCAATCAGAACACGGTATTGCTCGCCCTGCTTTCCAAATGCGGCTAGACCAACCCCACCGGACTGGGGCTTCGCTGGACTCGTGGCGTTTGGTGATCCCTCAATACGAACTTCATCTATCTATCTTGCTCTCCGAAGCTCAGTCTGGAAAGGACCTACATGTTGGGGCCGCAGTATGTCAAGCTTGCTATACCCTTCTATTACGCTATTTAGGCATCGCGTGTGATACGACCATCCCAGTCTACATGCGGCTCCTCACTCGTGATGGGCAAACCAAGTGGAGGGTGTGGTACGTGTCGTGCGAGGAGAGTCAAAGTAAGTAGTATGGTCTTGTCTATGATCCACCATCCTATCATCGTATCGAAGACACCGGCGCTTTCCACCCATTCCATCTGATCTGATCACTGCTCCTAGTGCGATGAAGCTAGACCAGTCTGCGGTCGTTGTAGAAAAGCAAGGCGGACTTGTTCCGGCTATCGAGACCCGCACTCGGTATGGTTTAGAGACGAGAGCGATGCAGTAGCCCGAAGAGTCAAGAGATCTGCCACTTTAGACAAAGAATCTTCCTCCACAGAGCCTTCGGTTCTGACGCTAGCAAGACGAAACACCTCCCAGGAAGTATATCCTGGACACTACCCTCTGCGGTTCCCCCTAGCGATAGTTAACTTTGCGTTGGATCATACCTTCCAAGCCACATGCTTTTTCCTGAACACATACACGTGGTTCAATGCATCTAGCACGGTGGAAACCTCATTCAAACATGGTGCCGGTTCTACTGAGTCCCTTGGCCAGAAAGCTATGATGGCTAGCATTGCATCCGTGGGCTTAGCGAATCTTGCTAGTATGCAGAGGTCCTCGTCAATGCGGCTGTCGGCTCGGCGCGAGTACACTAAGGCTCTGCAGCTGACGAACTCAGCTTTAAGCGATCCGGAACTGGTTACAGCAGATACCACGCTAACCGCGATCGTTTGCTTATCATTATTCGAGGTGAGTTGTCTGTAACTATTTACAGAGCATATGGCTGACTGGTTTATTTAGATCATTGCTTGCCAGAGAAATGAGAGCCTGCAATCCTGGATCGAACACTCACAGGGGGTGGCAACTGTCCTTGAACTTCGCGGCAGAGATCAGCTTCGGCGCGAAGGCGGGTTCTGGATGTTTCAAGCCCTCCGAAATGAGGTGGTGGGTGTTATCCAAGTCTCTTATTCAGAACCTGGCTAATGGCCCTTTCAGCTCCTTGGTTGCCTGCAAAAGAAAACGAGACTCCCTTCTGTCCTGATCGATATGCCTGATCAAGTAGCTACCGACCTCACGTCGTATCCTCTCCCAACTGACGGAGATCGACTAGTTAAGGTTATGGCTAAGTTCGCCGGGCTTCAGGCTGATGTCAGAGAAGGAATTCTCTCGGACAGCAGTGAGATTGTAAAGATGGCCATGG